TTCAGGTTTTCGAAAAAGACGGACACATCGAAACGCCAGGCAATAAACCATCTAAAACCGGGTTTCGGCAATATACTTACAGACAACTTCATCTTTTCTCCTTTTGTTCTCTTTTGTGATAGTAGTTTTTGAAGCCGAAGAACAATTTTATGTCAAAGCTTTGATATATTTTCATAAAGAGGCTACCCAAAAAATCTGCATTCGCAGTCCTGAAGGCTGTCGGAAAAGCTTCGAACCTAAAAAGCAATAAGGGATGCTCTGTATTTGATTTGCCTTGCCATGTTTGACCCTCGTGATGGTCTACTGCCTTATCGTGGTGCGATGGTGACTCTGAGTGTCGAACTGCGAGTTACAACGGAGGTTTATCCTCCAGCAGAGTCTCCCAAGCTGAGAAGGAGTTCGACTTTCCGGTTCCCGGGATGCCCAGCTAAGAGTAGGTCACGCCAGAAGCCTCACCATCTGGCTGATTAAGTCGCTAGGTGGTTCCCTGATCCGCATAAAGTCAGCGATCGCCTGTGGTGAAAGCTTGGCAAGTCGTGGCAAGGCCCTGCTCATGTTTGCGGAAAAGTTGTTTATTGCCCGTGCAGATATAAGAGAAGAAGCCCTGCACAATCGTCATTCGTGGTGAGAAAGTTCCATCACGGAATATTGGAGGCGTTGGATTTGTCATACACTCATCTATCGTCCATCTTGTCGATTCGCATGAAATCCTATTACCTCGCCTGGCTATCCTTCGACTCCGTCCTCTGCATCAGAAAGCCATCACTATCATCAGCTGCTAATCTCCAACATCAGCAGCTGATAATTCGGAACTGGATGCTTTTTATGAGGATTTGGAGGAAATCATCCGCAAACAAAACTCCTTCTATAAGTTAGTCGTGGATGACTTCAATGCGAAAATCGAGATGCCAGAAGAAGGGGAGCACAGGATCGGAGGATTCGGAACAGGACTCCGGAATGAGAATGATAACCGTCTTGTTGGGCTCTCAACCGCCGCACGCCAATTGTAATTAGCCCCTCGAGGAGGATCCAACGAAAGACTACGACCTACTTCTTAGAGGACTGAGAGCCTGTGGTGAAAGTGCCTCAACGCCTCGCACAAGGAACTTGGAACGAATTTCGAAAGCCACAAGGATCTGCTAGAGAGGAGAAGAGCACTGAGGCTGAATCCTACTGCGTCATATCTCGAGCGACTGTTAGCCACTATCAGTTGCAGAACAGCTTTGCAAGAAGATCTTCGAAAGTTCAGACAGTCGAAACTTTTAGAGGCAGCACAAGGAGAAGTTAAAGAAGTACTGCAGGGAACTTCCCGACTATCTTCTGCTGACAACATTACTAAACGAAGACGGGACCTTCGCGACAAAAAAACGATTACAAAAAGATTCTACACCAATCTCTTTCGCTCGTCAACACCCGTGTCAAGCCCCGCTATTCCCACTGGAGAGATACCACCAAAGATTCTACCTGCTAATACGCGTCGCAATCCGGACCATGAAGGCAGCCATGGCTTCGGGGTCGGACTATGTTTCGGCCGATTACTTATGAGCTGAAAAACATGCCTACTTATACTTGCGGAACATCTGACGTTCTACTTTCAAAAGGAAAGGACCCGCAACCAGTGGAGAACCTCCCGGACAATCCTTCTTCATGAGAATGGCGATGGGGAGGATCTCCGAAACTACCGTTCAGTATGCCTGCTGAGCGTGCTTACGAGCTCTTCACGTAGATTATTCTCGGTCATTAAGGAAACTGGATGAAGCCCATCCTATGGAACAAGCTGGATTTTGCAAGGGATTTAGCTGCGTGGATCATCTAGACAGTTTCGGGGTTATCGAGGTTTTCCGAGAGTACCGCCTACCTCTCGTCCTAATCTTCGTTGTCTATGAGAAATCATTTTACA